AATTTGTAGCCGTCGATATATCGGGCAAAGGTTACATGTCTTGGGTGCTTGATGCTGAAATTCATCTTGATGCGATGGGTCTGGCAGACACCATCAAGGATAAAAATCAAGAATCAAACCAAGACCGTGCCAAAGCAATGATATTCCTACGCCATCACCTTGATGAGGGCTTGAAAATGGAATACCTCACTATTAAAGATCCAATCATACTGTGGAATAATTTGAAAGATAGATATGACCACATGAAGATGGTCGTTCTTCTACAGACATGTTATGATTGTACTCATCTAAGGCTACAAGATCTTAAATCTATCAATGAGTATAATTCTGCTATGTTCAGAATTATTTTTCAATTGAAATTATGTGGTGATAATATTACTAATCATGATATGTTGGAGAAAACTTTCACTATTTTTCATGCCTTGAATATGCTCCTGCTGCAGCAATATCGAGAGATGGGATTCAAAAAGTATTCTAAACTTATCTCACATCTTCTTATAGCCAAGCAACATAATGGGCTATTAATGAAAAATCATGAAAGCTGACCTACTGGTTCTTGTCCATTCCGTGAAGTGAATGAGACGAACTTACACCAAGCTAAGCATGTAAGAGGATGTGGCCCCAGTCGTGGTCATGGTCGTGGTCGGGGAAGAAACTCTAATCATGGTAATAATAATGTACCAAAGAACCCTCCTCACCACCAGCGTGAAAAAGGAAGGAACAAAAGCATAAAGCGGTGCAAGCAGCAAAGGCAGAAAATGCATGCTATAGATGTGGAGGAAAAGGGCATTGGTCACGTATATGTCGTACGCCAAAGCACCTGGTTGAGCTGTATCAAGCCTCCCTAAAGAAGACATAGAAAAATGCTGAACTAAATTTTATTTCTGAAGATAATTTAGACTTCATGCATTTGGAAGTAGCTGATTACTTTACACTCCTGGAAGGAGAAACAAGTCATGTGATCGGTGATGAATCTGTAGAAATGTAAATATTTTAATTTTTGTTGTTTATAGTAGATAGTATGGTTATGTAATTGTTGTACATCAATAAAAGTTATGCTTTGATAATGATGTATACTATCATATTTATTTTGTTTATGTCATTTTGAAGAAATTTTCTCTTGTGATACCAAAAGTGTGTGAGCAATATTTGATAGTACAAAATGTATCAACAACTCCTGAAGAGCTAGTTATTTTTCTAGAAGACACATAACACCAGTAGTGTCCGATAAATATTAGATTGTGAATAATAAATGAAGACTCTCGAAGAGCTTATATACAAATATGTCATTCATATTATATGATTATAGTCAAAACATATGTTGTAGTATACCTGAAGTTTACTAATACAAATGGCTATCATATTGAGACTACAAATGATTGGAAGATTGGAAATCTTCATCTTTTCACAATCATAGCGGGTAAAATAATATGTATGTGAAAAGTGACATACCTTATTCTTCAATTTGTACTATATCATGTATCAGAGTAAACCAGAAGTTTATTAATGCAAAATCAGTCACAGTAAATCAGAAGTTTTACTGAGGCAAAAGTAGCTACATTAAAGCATAAATTCACTGATACAAAAGTAGCCACAGTAAATCAGAAGTTTACTAATGCAAAAGTTTATGCCATAGTAAATCAGAAGCTTACTAAGAGATAGCACATGCCATGATAAACTTGAAGTTTTTATTTTCCATTTTCAAATGAGCTACTTGAGAATTCAAATAAGCATATACTGAAGAACTAGAAAATTCTTCAAGAATTCTTTTGTGTTGCTTATTCTCATAATAAATTGATTATACCAACTAAAGTTGGGACTAAGACCCCTGAATTCTGGAATATATAAAAGGTGAATATGGGTTCATTCACCTATCATGTAAACCACTTATAGATGCATATATGAGATGGTTACATGTGTGTTTATTGTCAACCTGCAGTTTGGCATTTGAAATTGCTTTTATCAATTAAGGGCATAATTTTCAGATTATGAAATCAAGATAGTTCATCTTGATGATGTTGGTTTATATCCAAGCTAGTTTAGCATTGAATACCTCCTATTAATGATTAAACTATTGCTTATGAGAACAAAACCTCATGTGTTGGTCTAAATTTTTTTAAATTGCATACAACAACACTTGTATGCATCAGACCAACAAAATATGATAAGTCATCCCCTCACAATTGGTTTAGGATCAGAAACCAAATATTTTTACTATCTAATAACTTTTGATGTGTGGTGTATAATTAATTTCTCTACCACAATGCACAAAGATAGGTTTTCCAAAGAAGATTAGGGATATGTGTTAGTTTTTCTAACATTTGGGGGATGGAATAAATAGTTAGAAAATATGCTATATGAATCGAATTATCATCAATATGATCCTCACTTAAAAGATAATTCAAGTCAAATGTAAGAAGCATTTGCTGATCCAAAATTAAATATCATATTTCAGCTGCAAATGCTCCTATTAAAATTAAAATCCCCGAAGGATAAAGTTTACTGCACGCATGAAGCGTAGTAAACCGATCGGTTCCAAAGGTAATAATCCTTGAAAAATGATATGAGCAAATGATCAAAATGATCATAATGAGGAGGGAATTAGCTCTAGAATAGCCCACAGCATAACATTTCATGAAACTCCAGAAGAAGTTCAGGTACCTGAAAATAAAGAAAGTAATGAGATCTCAACAAGTTATGTCGCTTAGGAACCGATACAAAATGATCGTCGACGATATATTTGATACAATATAGTTCACAATATTGTAAAAGATTGTGAGGATCAGACTTGTAGTCCAGACACCTGAAGATGACATGCCATCTAAATGCAAGTCATAACCTATATGACATATTTGATTAAGTCTATATGAAGATCCTTAAATGATTTAAAATGCGTGAAGCATATAGTTCAAAGTATCGTGAAATGTACTCAATCAGATTACAAAGATCTTTGTGCGGTTTAAATCAATCTGGGCGCATGTGATATAATCACCTCAGTGCATATTTGATGAAAGAAGGTTACATAAATGATGTTATTTGTCCATGTATTTTTATAAAGAAAATGGCATCACAATTTGTTATACTTACTGTTTATGTTGATGACATAAATCTTGTTGGAACTCCAGAAGGCAATTGGATATCTTAAGAAAGAATTTGAGATGAAAGATCTTGGAAAGACAAAACTTTGTCTTGGCCTGCAAATTGAACATTTAGCAGACATGATCTTTATCCATCAATCTGTCTATACATAAAGGGTCTTAAAATGCTTTTAAATGGACAAAGTGCACCCATTGAGTATATCAATGGTTGTTCGATCACTTGAAGTGAAAAAGATTTGTTCCGACCTCCAGAAGAGGATGAGGAATTCCTTGGTCACGAAATACCTTATCTTAGTGCAATTGGTGCACTTATATATTTTGCTAATGTTACAAGGCCTGACATACCATTTTTTGTTAATTTACTAGCAAAATATAGCTCTTCTCCTACACAGAGACATTGGAACGGGATTAAGCATATATCACGATATTTAAAGGGAACACTTGATACGTGTTTATTTTATTCTAACAAAGGTAGTGCAAATAAAGGTTATTTATCTGATCCACATAAAGCTCGATATCAAATTGGGTACGTGTTTACATGTGGAGGTACTGTCATATCATTGCACTCCACAAAGCAATCTATTGTTGATACTTCTTCAAATCATGCTGAGATAATAGCTATTCATGAAGCAAGTAGGGAATGCGGATGGTTGAGATTAGTGATTCATTTTATTCGAGGAAAATGTGTTTTGGAATGTGATAAAAGATCTACAATTTTATACGAAGACAATGCTGCATGCATAGCTCAATTAAAGAGAGGATTTATAAAAAGAGATAGAACAAAACACATTTCACCAAAATTATTCTGTACACACGATCTTTAGAAAAATAGTGACATCGATGTGCAACAAATCTGTTCAAGTGACAATACGATAGATTTATTCACTAAATCTTTGCCAACTTCAACTTTTGAGAAGATGGTATACAAGATTGAAATACGGAGACTCAAATATTTGAAACAAGTTTTTTATCAGGGGGAGTAAAATACGCCCTACACTTTTTTTCCCTTACAAAGATTTTTCCCACATGGTTTTCCTTATAAGGTTTTTAATGAGACAACTAGTTATGCGTATTACTAAATATGTGTACTCTTTTTTCTTCATTAGGATTTTCCCACGGGATTTTTCCTAGTAAGGTTTTAATGAGGCACATTATCTTTTAATGAACATCCAAGGGGGGTATTATAAATATATTATATTATGGATGTTCATTTAGTACTCCATTGTAAATAAGCTTCCTGAAGAAGCTTATCTATATGAGACTCCGCCGTAAATATGTTTATCTATTTAGTACTCTATTGGAAATAAGTCTCCTCAAGAAACTTATCTTTTCGATACCCCGTTATGGATAAACATCAACCTCGGTAGAAGATTATTCATATCTTGTACAATGAGCTTATCCTTTCAGTACCTCGTTATGGATAAACATCACCCCGGTAGAAGATTATTCATATCTGGTACAATGAGCTTATCCTTTCAGTACCCCTTTATGGATAAACATCACCCCCGATAGAAGATTATCTATATCTGGTACAATGAGCTTATCCTTTCGTACTCCGTTATGGATAAACATCACCCCTGGTAGAGGATTATTTATATATGGTACAATGAGCTTATTCTGTCGGTACTCCGTTACGGATAAACATTACCCCTAATAGAATATCAGCTTACACAATAACTTATTTTCTTCTATAAATAGATGATATTTCAGTTCATTATATATATAATTCAAAATTTGAATAATATATCAGTTTCTCTCTATACTTATATTTATTTTACGGTCTTTATTTTATACCAGCTAGCAAATTAATAACGACTTTGTAACAAAGCCTAGAAATTAAGCAACAGTTGGAAATATTAGAAATTTCATATATTACTGGAAAAGTGACCAGGTACAATGTAACAATATTACTGCGGTGTGATGATTGGAACTCATTCTCGTCAAATTTCCAACTATTTCTGACACACAATACTACTCACAAAATAAGCAACATTTTTCTCGTGGTAATTACTACTCCTAGTATTATTAAACTAGTACTATTAAATTCCTTTGCCCCAAAACATCTGTCTTTATTCGCCACCTAGTCAACTACCACCGCGTACCTACCGTCTTCTCCGCCGGCAGCGACGATGACATCCGATGGGTTCCGGCCGTTGGACGAGAAATCATTAGTGGAGTACATTAGAGCTACTCCTGCTTTGGTTTCAATATTAGGCACGGAGTTCGATAAACTTGAAATTAAGGAAGTTGGTGATGGAAATCTCAACTTTGTTTATATTGTTGTTGCTCCCTCTGGTTCGTTTGTCATCAAACAGGTGCCGTTCATCTCTTTTTCTACCTTTCCCTTCTCTGCTATAATTATTCCTAATTTTTAGTCAATTAGCAGTCAACGGGCTATGGAGTTTTTTTCCCCGAAGTGAACTTAGGGACTCCCCATATTTATTAGTGTCGCTTTCTTTTTTCTGCAATCAAGTTATTATGTTCTTACAATTGCCATTTAATAAAAAGGATTCTGACACTAACTAATATTTCTTTGGATTTCAGTGATAATAGAATAAGTGCATTAGCAGTGTAAATTAACCTGTCGTAACATATTTTGTGCCCACTTTTTTGGGTTAATGGATACACTTTCCGCATCTTAGTTGGCTTTTAAGTGACATGAAATAGTAATATTTTAAGGTGACAGTGTAATCCTTGATGTTATATCATGTTTATGTTTCTATATGGTGATGGCGTCTGCAGGCTCTTCCTTATATTCGAAGCATTGGAGAGTCATGGCCAATGACAAAAGAACGCGCTTACTTTGAAGCCACTGCGCTAAAAGAGCATGGTCGTCTGTGTCCCGAGTACGTACCTGAGGTTTACTATTTTGACAGGACTATGCGTGTGATTGGTNATGCATTGGAGAGTCATGGCCAATGACAAAAGAGCGCGCTTACTTTGAAGCCACTGCGCTAAAAGAGCATGGTCGTCTGTGTCCCGAGCACGTACCTGAGGTTTACTATTTTGACAGGACTATGTGTGTGATTGGTATGGGCTACCTTGAACCTCCTCATATTATATTGAGGAAGGGATTGATTGCTGGGGTCGAGTATCCATTGCTGGCAGAAAACATTTCGGACTATATGGCAAAGACTCTTTTCTTCACCTCCCTGCTTTATCTTACAACAACGGATCACAAACATGCAGGTGAGCCATATTAATCTCAACGGGACTGCATATAGTTGTAGATGTACATATACACTTTCCGCACCTGTGTTTCTGCATTAGGCTTTGTGAATGTTCATGAAAGTTTCTTGTTTATCCGGGCAGGTTTCAGTTGTGTGAATACACATAATTGGTTCTTCTATAAAATATACTTCTTACAATGGTTAGGCTACATTATTGAAGGTTAAGCATATTAATGAAAGTTATAAAAACTTATGGTAAGACTTGTAGATATTGCTTGTACAACATGTGGTCTGGTTTCTTCTTGATTGGTAAAAGTGGTACCTTTGGGGGCAATTATTAGAAATCAAATTTTGACAAGAAGAGCTTTTACACTTTTATAAACAAAGCTCATCAGGTGGATTACAGTTTATCTATTTCTGATTTAAATGTGCAGTGACAAGCTCTACGTCAGCAAGCTTTTCGTCACTGTCATTTATAGCCATGATAATACACATTGCCAATTCAAAATCTGGATCCTTTAACCCAAAATACATCTTAACTTGCTCATCTCATCCTCCTTGTTAGGAAAAGGGCAACATCGGTGTGCCAT